CATTTCCACGTCCATGTATGAGGGATTGCTCTGTCTCCGTCAGAGTCTGCCTCTCTGTCAATGATCCACAATAACAGTTGAGGCTGACCTGGATGCTGTGGCTGACTGGGACTGGTCATTGCAGCAGGCTTTTGGCTGTGGAATTATCCAGAGGAGATGAGCATGAGTCTTGCTACCTTTAGGATTCAATGCGTCCCTCAATAATGATGGGTGGAGAATAACTGGTAATCTCTATTGGAAAAAAAACAAGCAAGAACAACACCACTTAAGGAAGCAGCATAAATAATGGATGAAAGCAGAAGTATGGCCCTCTCTGACAGAAATTATGCTGCTTTTTAATTTGTGCTTATGGCACCTAAGTAATGGGCACATGAAAAATGCATGGATAGATAGAACCAGGAATAAAAATCCCCGCAGAACCAAATTACACCTACTATCTAGATTCTAGTGAACTCCTTCTTAATAAGAAAAAATAAACAAACATTTATTAAAGAAGAGAAGAAACTTTTTTTTCCCTTTCTAAAATGTATAGCATTTCTACAAAACCAGAATATTATTTAGGAAGAGAATTTCAATAGTAAAATCTTCCTGGCCAAGACATTATTTGTAGAGTGCTCAGCACAATAGGGTCGAATCCTGATTGGGGGTTTTGGGGTGTTACCTCAATATAACTAATTAATAATATGAATCATAGTCAAATTTAAAATTCTGATTGCTCATTTCAGAATCCAATCAGGGAACAGTGCCCCTTTAACTTAGCTTCCCCAAGACTTTGTACAATTAATCTTATTAAAATAAATAATGAAAGTATCACCTTTCAATCTCCCCCTGTAATTTAGTTAGGATTAAGCTTGACTTTACTGCATTACCTACTCACAGGAATATCTTAAATACATAGAAATGCTTCAGTCTATCTTGTGCCAGATGGGTATGATGCTGAAAAGCAAGAATCTCCAAGAATATTTATAATTTGAATCATTCTTCACCATTTTTTCAGCTGTAACCCGGAGCATATAGTAGAATTTCAGAGTTATGAACACCTCGGGAATGGAGGTTGTTCATAGTCCTGAAATGTTTGTAATGCTAAACAAAAAGTTATGGTTCTTTCAAAAGTTTACAACTGAACATTGACTTAATATAGCTCTGCTTCAACCATCTTAATTTAAACGAGGCAAGCACAGAAACAGTTTCCTTACCTTGTCAAATCTTTTTAAAACTGTTCCTGTTTTTTAGTAGTTTATGTTTAACTGTACTGTATAGTAGTTCCTTTTTTTTCTTTTTTTGGTCTCTGCAGCCTGATTGCATACTTCCAGTTCCAAATCAGGTGTGAAGTTGACTGGTCAGTTTGTAACTCTGGTGTTCATAACTCTGAGGTTCTACTGTATTTTTAAACCTGGTGAAATAAGGGCTAATGTGATTTTTGACTAAGGTAGTTGAAATTAGTTTCTCCCTGGATTTGGTAGGGAATAAAGAGGAGCTTGTTCTTCTAAAGTAAGGAATGTATCAGGGTAAATAGATTTGACACAGCCATTTGCTAAAGCTATTCGCAGAACACAAAAGAATGTCCTATTAGAATCTCTGGGCCAGATCCTCAGTTGATGCAAGTCAGCATAGTTCAAATGAAGTTTGCTTCCTTCTAACTCAGTCTTTCTTTTTCTTGAACCTTTCTGAGACTCTTTGAGCTTCCTCCGTCTTCCTTTTTTGCACATGGGTTGACAGACAAATATAGGAATGCCTTAGCCCGCATATAGGTAAAAGATAAAGGATCAGGCATTCAGTTGGTATAAATCAGTGTAGTTCCCTGACTTCAAGCATATTATAAAGGCACTAACTGGGCTGCACAATAAACAAGGGATTTGTGAGGGGTCCAGCTACACTGCAGTAGGGCACTTCTCTGCTGTTCCTATTTCCTAGCTCTCCCTGCCCCAAAAACCTCATCATCTGACTCCCTTCTGAGTCATTCACCAGGTGCTGACAATGTTGCAATATATCCCACACATGGATTATTGCTGTAGTACCTCAGGCCATAACAAACCTGCAGCAACTACTGGTGGTGCTGCCACAAGAAACCAGAGATCCATGTCATTGGTTCTGAAGGCTGGGAAAGGGCCTTGAGGAGTCAGGGACTCAAACCTGAGGCCTCAAACCTGGCAAGTCAGGTACTCTGACCAAAGGCCTGAACATTATAGACAGGACTGTTTGCTGTCTATGTGACACACTTGCATACTACTATTTCTCTCTCTCTCTCTCTCTCTCTCTCTCTCATTTTTTGAGGCCATAGTTAGCAGAAAGCTGCACTGAGGAAAAATATCAAATTCACAGTAAAACTTTATGAGCTGATTAAGTTCTTTGAAAAGGTCCCTGAACAGCCAGCATAGATCAAACCTTACTAAGAGTCATATACATCATGCAAACATATAGATGTCAATATCTTTTGGTCTGAAAAATTTGACAAGTAGGTTGCATTTGAATGTCCTTGAATACAGCACACTCCTACTGTGTGCTGCAGGAAGCTTGAACTTAAAGATGGAGAACTGTGGTTACAGCAAATCTCAGTTTGACTGCAAAACATACAAAACTAAAGAACATAAAGGCAAATACAGTATTGCTGCAAAACAGGCAACGTTTCCAAAAGAAAGCGGCTTTAGTTTGGCCTCAGGTTTTTGCTTTCATATAAAATGTGAAATACTTGGCCTGTAATGTTAACATCAAGATGTAGTGTAGTTCCTCCCTGTCTGGAGAACAGCTTAACCAATACTGCTGTACAATAGAGGGAGTAGGAAGCCTGGAGCAACATTGCCAGCTCCAAAAGCTGTTGAGCTGGCATGAGGGAGGGTTGACAATCTACTTCTCAGAGGAAATTTACAGTATTTGAAGGAGGGTGCAGTGGATTCATTTGCCTCCATCTAAAAATGCAAGTGGAGGGGCCAATCAGCTGTCTCTAAAGATGTTGGGCTGGCAAGTCCCCCGAGCCTCCCCAGAAGACATCTAAACAATAATACTGGGCCAATCCTGAACTGGTACAAATCAGAGTAGTTCCACTGAAGTCAGTGGAGCTATGCTGGTTTTCACTAGCTGAGAATCTGGCCCAGTTTGTGGTGTGGGGTCAAGCCTGTTGGAGAGGAGAAAGTCTGGTGGTAGAGAGGGTGAGTCTTAGCCTGAACTGGTCCAAATTCTTGAGCTTTGTTTTCACACCACCCTACTTGGAATGTCCTCGTGCCTGGGGAACAGAACTCTTACAAAAATAGGCTTCTGAAGGATGAGATTCAGAGTCTGAGAAGTGCTGGCAGATCATGTACACATATACATGTACATGTGTACGTGTATACAATGCTCAAATTTGACACACAGATCAAAACACATACTTAAGCAAATGTTCAAAGGTCCACAACCTCAGTGTCATAAGAAAAAGACAACACACAACTTACGAGTGCCTTTACTGGACAGAGTTGCTTTAATTACTTTTATAGAGTTGTTCGGCTGAACACTATTTAAATACAGCAAAGGGAAGAGAAGAAAACCCGAGAAATAGGTCTGTAAAAAGAAATCCCTGCCCACAATTTTTACTGGTCAACCCACTTTCTCCAATCAGATTCTATTTCATAGTGGTTTAGTTTTTCTCTTTTATTTACAATATTTTGACTAGAGGTTTTTGAGGGCTTGGAATCCTAAAACAAATAGATTTTTCTTTGGTTAGTAGGACTTTGGACAGATGACCTTACTTTTTTTGACCACAAAAATTAGCCCCAACTGACAGAATGAATCTCTCATTGCCAGTGCCTGGGGTCTCATCAGAATTTCCTGGAACCTAAGCAGGGCAAAGAGCAGAATCCTTTATAGAAACACAGGACTGGAAGAAACCTCCTGGGTCTTTGAGTCAAGTCCCCTGCTACTGCAGAAAACCACACTATATAATCCTATTCATAAATTTATCAAGGTCCATCTTAAAAACTAGTTAGATTGTTAGCTACTCCTATTGGAAAGCTGTTCCAGAATCTCTACTTTATGGACACTGCTATGCAAATTTAATGTACCTGTCCAGTGGAGCTGTTTGGAAAATGGAATTTCCATCCTTTAGGAAATTCCAATACACCTTGCTATAACGCGACCTGATATAACACGAATTCGGATATAATGTATTTGTCCCAAAATGTGATGAAAAGTCAAAATAGCTTTGTGTGTATATCATAAAAAGTTCCAGAACATTTTGATTCAGAAATGTCAAAATGGGAAATTTTGTTCTTTCCAATCAAAACAAACAATTTTGTTTCTGAATGTCGACATTTGCGACATTGCAAGGTATCAAAATGTTGATGTCAATTGGAAACAAAGTTTCAATAATAAATGTTGATTCAAAACAAAACATTTTGTTTAAAATGTTTCTGTACAAAAGAAAAAGAAACAAAATTTAATTGAAAAATCAACATTTCCCCCCAAAATTCAATTTTGATTAGACAGAAATTTTCCATTTGAAATGTTTTAGTCAGCTGTACTCTTTAGCACTTAGATAATATAATGGTGAGCACTGTAGAAAACCTAAGAAGTATAGATCAGGGAATATCAAGAATTTCTGCTCACTGAGTTTTAAATCTTTATTACTATCCAAGATAAAGATTCTTTCTGTGTTATATAGATCCAGCAGGTGAGATATCTCTGCTCCTCCTCCATTTGTGTGCTAGAAATGCCAAATGTGTTAGAAAGAAATATAGAAGCTGACCCGGAGCTTAGTGAAGGGGCATGTCACATAGCAATCAGACTGGTGCCAATTGCAGTGTTGGCAATGAACTGGATTTAGAGCACTGAACCCATTTCACATACAGGCCACTGAGACATTGTGAGGGACTGGAGTTGTATCCGTGTGATTGAAGAGGGTATGAACTGTATAAACTGCCAATTCATTCAGGCCATCTTTCTGGAAACCTCTTTGGCAATAAAAAGTTTAAGGATATTAAATATTTATCATATTGACAAAGGATAAAGGAAGGATTAACTTATGGCTTTTATAGCAGAATATGACATTCCAATATACCACTGAAAAGAGCAGTTAGGATGTTTGACAATGAAGGTGAACATTTCACAGGTACCTTGGGGAAAGTCTTCCTTATGATTAGATTTATTTATGTATTTTTCAAGTTACAATGTGCCCATTTTAAAGCTTGCAATGTAAAGACTAAAAGCAACTCTTTGAGAAATCAAATTTATTTAACCCGCAGCAAAAATGAGCCCCACCTCACTCATCCTCCTGCAATCCTGGTAAAAGTTGGCCGAGAGGAGAGGTCAGCCATTCATCTGGCAGACCAATGAGAGAAGCAAATTGCACCGGTAAGGCACCTTCACTGAGAATAGTCTGATCATAGCCCCCCAGACATTCAAATCTAGCAGGTATTCGCATAAGTGCTTCAGCTGTCCTCTGCTATAATGGCAGAACTTGGGGTGGGAGGTGGTCCTTCAGATAGCCTGGACCCAAACAATATGGAGCATTTTGGTTCAATGTTAACTAGGGTTACCATATTTTGTGCCTCCAAATGGAGGACACTCCACGGCCCCCGCCCCCGCCCCCGGCCCCGCCCAACCCCGCCCCCTCCCCAAAGTCTCCGCCCCCTCCCCTGCTTCCCGCGAATATTTGATTCGCGGGAAGCCTGAAGCAGGTAAGGGGG